TTTTCATGCTTGAAATTTTCAAGTATACAGAAATTATTATGATAATGTTACATATAATCGGTGTTTCGGAAGAATTAAAGATATTTCAGTAACGTGGAATGTATTATGGAAATAAAGTAAATACAATACGTCGACGCCGAATCATTGTCGAAACTACTTCGGTTCCCGTACGAAAACGATCACGAGGGAGTTTGACGATTAGGAAACTTCGGCTCAGTGAAATGTCGAAACCGGATGCTACGTCGCGATGCTGTACTCACCGATGTCGAATCCATTCGCGGCGTCGCCCTGCGGGGCCAATGGGAAGCGATAATGGTGCTCGTTCGCCTCCAAATGCCGGATGCAGCCCTTAAATCCGGTCCTCACCGGAAGTCGCTCCAAACCGGTCGTGTTTCCGGGCCCGCCGACGAAGAGCGGCTCGCGGAACGTAATTCTCGAGAACAAGCCCTGCAATTGAAATCGGAATTCTCTAGTTATACGTATGTAGTTACGATGTAACGCACGAACCGGCGCAATTGCACGGTTGCCTGATTAATGCATGAAATTATTCCATTTACCGTGCAAACATAATGTTGACTATTTCCCGTTTCTTTATATACTTTTCCATGATAACGATGACTGTAGCACGAACAATTACAATTTTCTTCATAAAATTTTTTATGAATCACATCGATACGATAAAAAAAAATAACAATTCTGTAAATAAAAAAATGAATTTAGAATAAATAAATTTTCCTTTTCAGAGAAATTTCATATTACAGAATATTTAATTAGCGAACCGTTGCATTAATTGATATGACAATGAAAAGTTGTTTGTAATAAGTTTATTAAAAAAGAGAGGTCTTTAATCAAATAATTATGCCGAGTCAAGAGGCGTTATAAAACGAATAATTAAAGGCGCCAGCTGCTCGAAGCAAAATTATTGAAAAAAGTCGACAACTAACAAGAGTGGAGCGGATAATTGTAAAGGCAGCATGATAATATATATATATATATATAAAAACGACGTGAAATGAGAAATTCTTTCGTAGTTTCTGAAATCCATGTTACTTTCGTGTCGCGCATTTCTCGCATTCCCTATCTCGCATCGAACGACAAAATATGTCCCATTGTCATGCCAATACGTGGCGCTTTATCGTGCATTTTATATTCGAACGCATGCGTTTCATGGCGTGATCATAGGCATATCGTCGCTTCGTCGAATTCCATTTCTTAAAGGGAAATTCCTCAAATCGGACGGGAAAATGCGCGTGATGCGCGTGATCGCGAAGGCTTCGATAACTAGTTTTGCTTTCAGCATCTCGTTCTTTTTCTCAAAGAAAAGAGAACGCGAGCGGAGCGGGGGAAAGGGAGGGAGGGGGGGAGGGGGCGGAGAGAGAGAGAAGGAGAGAGAGAGAGAGGAAGACAGTGGAGAGGTCAGGGATGGCTTCTCTAATTACGACGCTGTCGTCAGGACACCGAGTGCTTAATGGCACTCTAGGATAAAGTGGGCTTGAAACGCGAAGCCATTTGCCGGCGATGCTGCCCGATTTTAAAGGTAATTAAACCTAGCCTGGGAAAAACAGATGGGTCGAGAACCAACCGATAATTCCTCGTTATCATACCGCTATTCCGGACGCCTGAGAGGCTCGTTGAAGAAAGAGGATTGAGCAGAAAAAGTAGATGAGACATTTATCGACGGCATGCTTGCTCCCTTAATATTCATTTTGTTCTCTCTCTTGATGATCACCTCGATGATCATCTCGATTAGCTCGAATATACATTTATCGAGTAGATACTTATATTTATATCGTGATTCCTTAAAGAAATGTCCCGATGTGTCTACTAGTGTCTCAAATTTAATTCTGTGTTAAATCGTATTTTTTAATATGTATACAAATTATGCTATCAGTATAATATGCGCGAAAGTAGATCAGAATAGATAAGAATTTAAAGTAGATCAATATAAGAATTATTAAAGGATATATCACAGAATTTATTATTAAATTATTAAGAATTTTGGTAGGTTGGTTAATCTAATTTTCTTTGTAAGTACTTCCGAAAGGTTATCCGTTGTCGCTAGTGTAAAAACCTCTTGCAAGTATTAGTTACACTTCTGACCCTTCGTTCTCGGCGCTACATCTCATTTGCAAAACAACAAGGCGGACGGGCGTCGCAGAAGAAGCGATGCAAACCAAATTAAGAAAAAGAGAGCAAGAAGCGACAAGCGAGAAGCGCCGGATACGATTAAAGCAAGGAACGAGTTAGTTAACAATAAGATTCGTGTGTTGCAAAACGACTAAACTGAAACCTCATGCGAACCTCAAAGAACATTATACGGCGTTTGCATCAGAAAGGAGTGGCATTATTCTGCGGCACGCTGATGCATCGTAAATTAAATCTTAATTAAGCACGATTTCGTTAGACTTTTTAAGATACGGAGAACCAAAATGCAACAGATTTCATAGTCTCTATTTTCATAATCGAAATAAATGAAATTATTATAATATACCTATGTAGCAGGAGGTTTCGACAAATTTTTTACATGTATTAATGAGGATAAGGATTAGTTAAGTCTGGCATAAATATTTCAAACCAGAATTTATTGATACATTAAAACATGAAAATATCTAAAAATATAGATATATCTTTGATATTTGTAGGTGTACTTTTTTAACACTACTAAAAAATCTTTATTATATTTAAATGTAATCGAACATCGAAATCTCGCGGTCTATGAGTTGAGTTTGATAATATGGAATAACTGAATCGATAATAATTGTTATAACAATTATTGTTTCCCTCTTGTATCTCTCTTTCTCTCCATAATTATAAAACAATTATTCATGTTTAATGGGCGATGATATCATTTATATATTAAATCCTGCCAATCTGTAACTAATACAATTATGTAAATTACACAGATCACAGAAAAAAAGAACAGCGAGAACTCTTTTTATTCTTATGTATACGTTTAAATTATTATTAACAATAATATTGTTAATAAATATTTCTAGCATTCTTTCATGAATTGATGTAACGCATGTGTCTTATAAAGAACAAATAAAATCTAAAATTTGATAATAAATTAAATAGTTTTGTCTTATTTTTAAATATATCTAGACACATCCAAATTAAAGCATTTTTACGAATTTTAAGATTTCCCTTTTCAGTTATCTATTAATCGATAACGTAAAAAAAATAAGATAATAGATAAATAGCAGATTTTGACATTATATAATAAAACCTTTTTAAAAATCTATCACTATTTATATGCATCTCGACAAATTTTCCTTCATTATATGAGTTTCCTTTATTTTGCGAACTTTGACTTTTGCTATTTTAACGAACACCGAATAAGTGTGAGGGCAATCGATCGAAACAGATTAATATAGGAAAGAGCAAAATTAAGGGACAATTACTTGGCAGAAATATCTTATGTAGACATGCTTTATGGGCAGTGGCACTTCTTTCTGATTAGATTGATCGAAGAGGTGTGGCTTCGTTCTAGGGTGTGGTTCTTCGCTTTTAATCTCCATCGCCTATTTCGATATATCCGACTGATATTTTTTTAGCTTCTTACGTCAGATTTACTGTCGCAATTTTCTCGAAATTTTGTACGTACTATTTTCTCACAACTACTTTTATCCCGTATTTTTAGTGCACTTTGAATACATTTAAATTTTTTTCATCGATTTTTTTCAGTTAATTTCTTCTATAATAATTATATTTAAAAAAAGGTCAACAAGGTTAATGTAATTTTCTAATTTTTATTACTTTATATCATACACAATAAACTTATAGTTAAAACTTTTTAAATTAATTTGAAATTGTTTTAAGAATATTATGTTTTCTGTGTGTTGTGTCTATGTATTTTGCAAAATGTGTCTGTGTATTTTGCAAAATGTGTTGTGCAAAATAATATAAAATTTATTAATTTTGTTTTGGTGAGAATTGTGACCTTTTCAAAATCTGCTATTCGTCTGCTATCTTATTTCTTGTGATATCTAGGACAGCAAAAATACGAGGAACTTCTCATGCGGAGCTTTTGCGGTTTCTATAGCAAAATAAGAATTTCCAAGAAAGCCAAAGTTTTGTTGCGGCAACATTGTATAATGTATTTTAGCACATATCAATATAACTCGCAACAAAGTTTTAACTTTACACGCAAAATAAAAAAAAGGGTCAAAATTTTGCGCGGCCCACATGGAATACTCCGGAAAGAAGTTTCGAAATGTAAGAACGTTTCTTCAATTTCCGGACTACATTCTCTCATTAAAGTTTCCGGGAAGTTTCCATGATACAACAGCGTTTAATGTTGGTTCCACCTTGGCGCCATTAAACTTTTCACGAGTGAATTTTATCCGATAGAAATAATTTTATTTTATCGCTAATTGACTATTAATGGCGTTCGAATAAAAATAATGACTCTTGTTGACACTACGACACTACGCTTGTTATATTTTTGATACAAGCTTTAAATTTCTTTCTGCTATCGTTAATTCGTGTTTTTCTTTTATCTCGTAAATAAAAATATCTATTAAAACAGTAGCTTTAACGATTAGTAAAATTTCAAATGTTTGCTTAACGAAAAATAAAATATCTATCGCTACGGGCGACCGTTAATTACCGATGAGCCGCTATTATCGAGCAGCCATCGATCAATCGAATTTCATTCGGTTTTTACATAAAATACGAACGGAAATTCCCGGTGGGTGGCCCGGGCGCGAGCAGGCGTGTGGACGTCGCCGTAAGAATCTCGAGAATTCGAATAAACCCACTGGTAATCCCGATAATACGTCCCGCCTCGCTGCGGAATATCGATTCCCTCATTGAAATCCGCGGTATATCCGCGGGTAAATAATATCCGGCGTCTGGCCTTGATGGAAATAAAATAAAGTGCCCTTACCTTCGACCGTCCCTCCACCCTCTTCTCCTGATTCAGCTGGATCCAGGCGTCCCATCGATGTCGGTAGACACTCAGGGTGTTCCACTCGTTCAACTTCACCGTTTCCGTACTCCTCACGGTGCCCACGCCGCTGCCGCAATCGAACCTTATAAGCAGAAAATAACAGAGGATAACGTTAATCGATCGATGGATGTTAGACATGTTGCGGATTATCGAGCGTTGTCAATATGGAGGGAATCCATAATAACGTTCTTTTGAGACAAAGCCGTATTCGAGCCAGAAAATGAAAAAAGCGTGAATAATCACGAATGTACAGCTCGTTTCAATGAATGCGAACGACGCCATAGGTATTCGGCGACGCCATTGAAACAAATTGTTCATTCGCGTATATTCATGTTCGTTTGCTTGATCTTGATTCGACTTTACTGAACATAATAATACAATTTATATTGTTTTACATATATATGATATAAGTTAGTTTCATATAAAAATTCATACACTATAAATCTTTGTGATCTTAGATCGACAGTTTCATAAAAAAATTCCAGAAATATTGAAAAATAAATATTTACTTCAGACAATGTTCTTTTTTATATTTTTCTTTTAGTTTTATTTATTTATGTTCAATTTATGTACAGAAAAATTTATAAGTAGTGTAAAACAAATGTGTAGTTATTAAATCTACGTGTTTAGCGATTTGTGTTAAACACAAAAATAATCTCTTAACATCGTAATGAAAAATAATTTATAATTATGGCGAGAAAGAATATGATCGATGTTCAACAACTTTACGGTCGTTTTAGAATGCTACTGACATTATTTGTCATAATCAATATGGAAATCATTATCAGCGTTGATAATCTATTTGCAATAATTGCGAAAGTAATCCGCTAATTTGTAAGCGCATATAATAATGTGCTCTCTGCTTAGTTAATAGAACAATAAATCCGTACGGCTAAGCATTTAGCATTCGATTAATGAATTGTGGAAACGAATCCCGGCAACAATAGACAGTCATTGGTATCAATGAATAAATTATACGACGCGTATGATGAATGTGTCTATGAATTTGGTGTCTGATTCTATGATTTCAAATCCCTTATTCGGGCAATTCCAGAATAGAAGCTATTATAAAAATCCATTCTCGGATATATCTCTTTAATTAACAGTTTTATAAAACCTATCACATTTTTTATTTAGCATATCTTTATTTTATATTTAGATAAAATTTATTCATATAATATTAAGTAATCTTTTCGAAACTATACTTTACATTTATTCATTTTACCTCCTTCTAGTATTCTTTTTTTTTACTAATTATCTGTACAATAAATGCAAAAATTATGTCCATTATCATTCTCTTTAAAAAAATTATTAACAAAACAGAATTATTAACGTCTTTATGGTGTTATAAATTGTGATTTTATCAGAAATCTTACTTCCACATGGCAATTTGTAAATGTTTTGTAAAATTTTTAATAAATTGACACATGTACTATTTTTATGATTAAATATTGATAATTTATTTTTATAGTATATTTATTCTAAGATAAAAAGTTTTTATGTGCTGTTACATTTATTTATGATTATTTTAGTTTTGTTGTTTGTTAATATTTCTCACGAGCTTCTCTTCTTCCTTCTCTCAAATTCATTTGTTTATTCAAAGTCGTTTGTATTTACTCGTATACAACAGACAAATGTATTGCGAGTATGCGAATATATATTGAGAATATTACTCGCTCACACTAATAAAAATATAACTAATTACGATCGCACGTATTAATCACTAAAATAAGATAATCGCACGCCTTTATTCTATACTCCCGACGTTAATTCCACACAACGCGTTAATTCCACAACTTTACTATTGTACATCTCGCAATGGAAGAAACGCGAAAAAAAAATACGAAGCTTTATAATCCCCTCGACACTCGCGAATCTCTCAAATAAACACAACGTATAAAATCTCAAATAACGAGAGTTTTTAACAAATCACGAGCAATGTACGAATTTATATGTACTTACGTATACTTTATTTAATATTCCTTATGCAAATAAGGAATATTAAATATAGATGTATAAATATTTCATCATCATACTTATTAATTCAACACATGAAGATGTTACCTGCTTTGTAATCGATCTATTTTGATGTTTCGTGTACATTTTATGATCGAAAGATTCGAAAATAAAATTAATATTTCAATGCTGTGCTTTCAGCACTCAATTGATAAATCGTATTAGTGAGATAATTGAAACAATAATGCAAAAATCGAAAATTGCAATCGACAATTCAAGTTAACTAACTACACGAGTTTTTAATTATAAAAGATCTATAAATAGCAATCGCATTTCGACAGATACGATGATATGCGGAGAGATTTACTTTGTTACCTGCCGATTTGTCTTATCGAACAAATGATAACGCGACATGGCGCATAGCGATCTCGTGTTGAAAAAAAAGGAAATAAGAAGACAATTTGCTAATTTTTTAATCCGTTATTAATTAAGCTAATAATAGATAAAGAGCCGATGTCAAACTTATTAGAAGTTTTTAATAATACTAGATAATCTATTGTAATTTGACTTTAATCTGTCAATGATAAATGACAATAAATAATATAATAAGAAATATATTTTAAATACACGTATGTAACTTTATGTTTTCATAAGAAATCAATTACAATTATAGTAGATATATTTTCACTTTCTCTATAAAACCGTACAGTATACCTAAAAATGCATATAATAATTATTATATCCGTATTATTTTTTGCTTTTTATATTGCAATATTTTTTTAATAAATAAATAAATATAGTGATAAATGTAGTGAAATATAGTGAGTAGTATATAAATAAATATAGTAATAAATATAGTGATAAATAAATAAATATAATGGAGTAAGAAAAGAAATGTCATACCAAAATTACATAATCGTAAATAATTATTTTTATTCTGCTTCTAATTTTATTTTCTTAAAGTTATATTATTACAAATAATATTTATTGTTCATAAATAAAATAGCTTTTTGTATTTTATTGTGTTATTTGGACATTATAATAACAGAATAATATAAAAAATTTGTAAGAAAATTAATTTTCATCTATAAAAAAGATTAGTTTTTAGATTAGTTACCTTCATTATCTTATTCAGTATTAAAATTATCATCTTACTCATATATGGGAGAAAGATAACAAAATTGACACGTTCTCAAAAAATTTAAATTATACAAAATTTTAATTTATTTGTAAATTTTTTAATTTTTATAAATAATAGGTACGATTTTAGCTAATAATAAAAAAAAATAATCATTATTTTTATATCACCATCAAAAAAATCATCAGAAAATCATATGAAATATCGTGGCTGTGTATTAGTTAGCCTTGTCCCTCCAAAATATTTAATATATTATGAAATAAAAGTTTTAAATGTATTCTACTTTTTTTATTTAAATTTAATTATCAATGTATATTCGATATGCATCACATCTTCTCGTTACTCGAATAACTCGATCCGATGATTCCTATATTTTACATTATCAATAACGAAATATTAAGTAAATTACATTTAAATTACATTTAAAAAGTTCAAAGCACGATACAGTGTATATTTGAATCCAAGAGAAAATAATTATCGCTCATACGTATCGCGAAACAATAATCCCTATTCTGCATTGTTCTGATTCCTATATATATAAACGAATGCGATACATATTTAATCAATAAGTACAGACGGTGAGCGTTTTAATAATGTCACTTGGATAATAGAGACTCGGTATTTGTATATGAAGCCAATAAATCGTGTGAAATATTTGTTTAGTCGTTGCTTCGATATGAATCCTTACTAGTATAAATTAATAATTGCTTATTGTAATGTGAGATACTTAGTGTTTGTGATTGTGATTTAATTTAAGAGTTTGTGACTTAATTTAAGAGATATTTAATGTAACTGTTTTATGAGGCATAAACTAATGATGAAACGGAAATGACTAATAGCTTTCGCCATTAACCTTTGCATATGTATACTTTCTGACAACTTTTCGATGTTTTTATGTATTTCATAATTGATTTATGTAACATATTGTTATACTTCTAAAACTTGTATATGCATGAACAACATAAATATATAATTCTTTTGCATTAATAATAAGTAATACGTAAAAGATTAATAAAAATATGCACTTTTTTTATAAAAGTTCATGCATGAAAATGATAATAATAATTTCTTGAAAATCTTTGTATTAATTTTGAGATAGATTTCAAATCTAAATCTGCGCTCATAATTGGAGAATTTTAAAGCAGATCCAATATGGGGGCCAAAATTACTACAAAAAGAAATGGAATTCTATTTTAATGAAACTTAATATACATATAGCTAAATAAATGAACTTAGAAACTATTGAGGCCAAAAAAGATTTAGAAATGAAATCGCCTTGTATACATACAAGAACTTTTGGTTTTTTTTTGGTTATATCTGAAAAACTGTTCGAGATAAAATGTTTTATATAAAAGTTTTATAATAAGAACATCTATAGTTAACCATGTTAAAAAGTTAAAAAAATCAATAAATTAAAAGACTAAAAAATATAAAAAACAAGAACATAAAGAGATTTAAAAAAAAACTCACATCCTCGTTGTTAACTTTGAATTATCTTAAGAATGAAATTTTGTCGTCAAAAAATAACAATAAAATTTCTTCAATGTTGAATGCGCTATTTTGCATTTTCAAATTTTGATTATTCATTTGGAATCAAAAGCTTAAAAAATTTTTACAAAATTTTATACATAAAGTAAGTAAAAAACAAAAGTCTTAACTAATTTCTTTCCAATGATTTTATGATGAATCAACAGATATTAAATTAAATTACTGCAAAAAAATATCGTGATATAATTTTATTCATTTTTCTTAATTTATTGAAGTTCTATAAGTTTACTGCTCTTGAGAGTGCAAAAATATTAGAAAATGAATAATAATAAAGTAATTTCTATAAATATTCTAATCAAAATGGATATTATTTTTTAAATTTAATTTTAAATTTAATTATTCACCTATTTCATTAATACATTGCACATTGATTTTGAAAAAAGTAATTTAGTACAAGCATATATGTTATCTTACTAAAATAGTATTTAATACAAAAAAATTTTTTTCAGCGTTATTTTCAATTAAATTACAAATGTTACGGTAAAGGATATATTTTATTATATTTAAGTTTAACGTCTTAAAAATTTATCAAAGACTTCAAATCACACAGATTTTTCATACAAGTAATAATTCTCAAATTCTTAATTTCTCTTCTTACTTGTAGAAAAATGTTACAAGAATCAAAAACTATGAACATATATACATACGAGTTTTTTTCAAAATTGATTTATTAGACTCATTTTTATTCTTCATGGAATTTTATATTCTACATGGAATAAGCGCGGAATAATGGCAGCCAAGTTTATCAATTAGACAAAACCTGCTAATGAGATAAAGTTACATTATCCTTGTTTTTTTCACAGCGTTTGCTCTCTGTCATCTTTAGAACAAATAAAAATCTGTACAATAAAAAAAAACGGATTTTCCATTATGATCATCTTTCTTGTTCTTAAGTTCATAATTCAAGATAGCTGTCATTCCAATTAAGGTACAATTCAATAATTCGAAATATGCCATCTATCTAAAAATTGATTTCAACTAGACTCTTTAGCAGAGTTCCAAGTTGAACTCTAACAAAGTAGAAATATTATTATAAATATAATACAGATGTTAAAAAATATACTATTACGTATGTTGCAATGGAAGTATCGTCATAATATTACAGGTGTCATGCAGTGATATAACACTTTGCAATGTACTTGCAGGCGAAACTTTACGTAGTAAAGCGTTGTAAAATAAATCCTACGACGTCGTTTTCACGACGAAAAAGTTTTCCGTCGATGCTCGATGGGGTGGCGCAAAACGCCGTAAAAGAGGTGAAACGGGATCAAACTATATTGCAAAAAGTAAACTTTTAGTTTTTGCACAGTGCTCATAAATCGTACGTGGGCTCCATTAAGTCACGGCTTATTAAGCTGTAAACGAAAAATTAGTCCCGGCACGGAATGCTTAATTAATGACCACGTCAAACTCACGGTAAAGTCTCCGAAATTATGGCACCGAAGTGTCCTATAAAGTGTCTCGTATAACTTTATATTCAATACAGCTTGCTTCTTCTTCTGGCGGAATAAAAAAAATCGATAAACCTCTTTCTTGATACTGTTTAAAAAGTTTACCTTCTCGTGAAATCTTCATCACGCTTTGACGACATTTACGACGATCTCTTAATTTCTAATTTAATAGTCTGATGTTTTCTATTTTGAATTTAATTCTATCAGAGAGTTTGCCATCTGCATTTCTTTCATGATGTGTATATATATTAATTTTGTTAATGCATCTTGTTATGAATTCTTTGAACGTTTTTTTGTCCGTATATTCAATTAAACCGTTTTATACAAATATAAATTTATACAAACGCAATATTGAAATAAATAAAATTCTTTTATAACATACGAATATCATACATCTGTTGAATGTATATGTACCTGAATTCGATAAAACCATGGTGCAGTATTAAGGCCATAAAATCGCCCTGAAGATCATCTCGTTCTCCCGCTAGAAGAAGCACCCCATCCCACGCTTCTGGCCGAAATTCCAATTCTAATTGAACATGTTTATAAGCAGCCCTTAAGGCGGGAAAAGCTAGCCAGCCTGATCCAGTGAATCGTGGTGATCTCACTTCAGCCTCTGAAACAGAACATTATATAATGTTTTTATTAATTGGAGATTGGACTTGTCGATAAGTGTTATGATAATATTATATTTGCCTTTGGATTGTGTTATCAATGACATTTCAATATTATTGTATTGCATGATTTGTAAAAGACAAAAATTTTTATGAGTCTTTTAATATTACGAATACAAGAATCGGCTTTGATACGTGTAAGGATAATATTATGTCGTATTTTATTTGTAGATTTTTAGAAGCATATGAAAAAATTTTACTTTTTAACAGAATTTTTATAACAGCTTGAATTTGTAAGATAGTTTTTCATATTTATACAGAATATTATGATATATTATTATTTACAATGTGTTTAAGAATTTTCAATTTTATAATATTTTATTTACATGTTGCTATTTCAGGATGTTTAAACTCGAAAAAAAATTACGTGAAGATTCCAAGTGATTTTCAAGGCAATTTGTTAAAAGTTCTAGATAAAATAAAAGTATTTATTTATTTTTAAAAAGTATTTTACAAATAAGCATTTTTATTTATGAAATACAGTCCTTAATATTTTCCACTTATAAAAATTTATAAAATAAAAATTAAAAATATCGAGTTTTAATAATTAAATTTATAAAATTTTAAAGAAAATTACAAGGAGACTCTAAAAAATAAATATATTTTATATTACATATATAATCTTTAATCCTAATCTTCAATTTATATTACATATAAATCTTCAAACTTTATTTTCAAAGGTTACAAATAAAAATTATAATCGATACAATAACCGATACAAAATTTAATTTTTATAAAACTATTACATTTATAACTAAATATTCATCTTCATTAAACAAAATTGCAACTAATATGAAATCGTTGTTTTCAATACTGAATATTAAATTAATAAAATCCTAAATAAAAGAACATACTAATTTTATTGAGAATTTTAGAATGGAGGACTCCACTGTTATCGTAATAATTTAGTTGATAAACTTCTGGCTGATAATATAAAGATAAAATATTAGAAGAGCATCTTCAAAATAATTCCCTGAGAATTCCAGATTTGCCAAGTAGTAGATACTCTATATTTGTGACAGCATACCAATAGCATAATAATAAAAAATATTATATTAAAGTAGAATTTTTATTACATTGTCTACTATTAGAAGAAAAGCGATTTCAGTGAATATATTAAAAAAAAAAAAATTACAAAGTAACTTGAAAGATACGTATCTGTTGCAATTTGCAGCCAAAATACCTGCGAAATGGTTAACATGCGGGTATCGTCGGCTACTTTCAAAGGATACATCGACTGGAAGAGAAAAGAGCGGAAAATCGGGAATTCCGGCCGCACGCGAGGCTTATGGAATGTCCCTTTACCCCTACGATCTACAACCTCGTATCAATCACGTTGAGTGTACCGCAGGGTAGGTGTACCCTGTAGGAAGACCCCGAGCACGTGGAACACGTAAGCGTAAGGGTGACGATAAATCAGACCGGACCAGAAGAATAGAAAAAGTTGCGCCCGTGGGGGCCTGGAAATGGAATTCCAGTTCTTGATAGCGCCGGGAATCCTCGACGCTATCGTGTAACAAAGCGTCGCTCGGCTGGCAGAATCGTACGCGCAATTACAACGGATGATATCGGAAAGACGGGGAGAATTTATCGTATACTGACACATTGCGTTAGCACGAAGAAAATATATTTTCGATCGGTTTTTCTTTATCGCGCCGCGTAAGTTTGACGTAGGTTTTTTTTTTTTTTTTTTTGGTTCAAACGTTGACTTTAGACACGCGGCTCACCGCGGCGACATTTGTTTTTCCGCACAAAAAATGAATATATTTCGATTTATATAATTATTTTCTATTTCAATGACATATTTCGAAGTTTTGTTTCGACGATTATTGTTGCAAACAATTGAAAATATAGTAATAATTTGATTTTACACATAATTCATAATATGGATAATATTTTAATAATTTATAATTTAATAATATTTTTAATTTTTAAATTTATATAATTCAATAACTATTAATATAATAGCAGAGCTGAATATTTGATAATATAAAGTAACAAGGCAATGTAAAATTGATTAGAGAATCTAATAATGCAATGGCCATAGTTAATAATACATACATACATAGTTCCTAATAATAAACTCGTGCGTATACGAGTAATGTAAAACAATGCAATCGAAATACTAATATTCTATAAATTTCTGTATCCGGAGTTGAATAACTAAGTTTTATTCAGACCATATATTCTCTCTTCGCAGTAGAACAAGTACATCGCAAGTAGACTATAGCTTCAACTCTCACAGTAGAATAAGTAAATTATGGCCCGACTATATATTTCTTCCTACCAGTAGAATAAGTACATTATATCCGAGCCAATGCAATTCCCTTTTCGATTACACGTCCATGTTTTCTGTATGCTTAGAATTAACCGCAACGCAGCTGTGCAATTGCATATAAATGCCTATTACCCTACTATTTCTATTTTTAATAAAATAGATAGTAAATTATTATTAAACAATCAATAATAAAAACAAAAAAATTGATATTGTTATATGACAGTAGTTGTAATTTATGGATAAGTGTGAAATAAAAATGTAATATTTTTCTAAAAATCACTGAAAAAAAAAATTTTACAATTCCTATTACATTTGAAGCTAGACTTTATGCTAATTATACGCGTTATGTACACTTATGGATATTTTAATATACATCATTTTACATATACATATGCGTTGTTTGAATTCTTTAAATATCTTGCGCGGTGCGTGGCAGATAAAATTAAAAATAGAATTCTATTTTTTGTATTCCGACACAAATTATAGATTGGTTAAAGGTAAATTTAGTAGAAAATAAACTAGAATAAACAGTCAAACGAATTATATATAGCTAATATATTTAAAAAAAAGCTATAGCGCAATGTGTGAGAGAAATATACTGGTGTCCTGTATTACCAATATTATATCATCTTTAGAAATATCTTGTTTTTTATACTGCAAAGAGGTATCTAGAGAGGCCTTTAAAGCGCGGCAACTAAATAAGTTGCTTCATTGAAGAACGGAAGGTATAACGGGCAAGGGAGGAAACGCTCATTGATTAAAATCGAACATTTCAAAGTTATCGTCTGATGTTCGCATCGCGCTCGACTTAACGCGAGAAACGAACTTTCTCGAAATGGAAGAAGCGGCGTTTCCGCCGCTCGCGATCTAGCGAGGCGTGTAAACTAACCGGAAACCGATCGAAGCGGCGGCCATTCGAAAAGAACGACGATAATAACTCGTTTCTTAGCGACAGCCTGATTAGTCGTTTTGTCATTCGAGGCGCGCCTTTATGCAAATTAAGCGGATCAAAAGACTCTCGCGGTTTCAACTTTTGCAAACTGAACATGATCGGTGTCGTTCCTCTTGACACGCTGTCTTACACAACGCGAATGCTAATGAAGATCATTTCTTTATCGGTTGTTTAAAACCGATAACTAACACGTGTCGCTATTGAATGTGCCTTAATAAGGCAGCAAATTCTTTATGACACATAATTTTCATTAAAATTATGTGTCATAAAAATATTTCATAAACAATTTGTATTAAGCAATTCGTTAGAGGAAGAGAGGAATGGTACGTAAAGAGAATAAGAGGAACCGGAGATTGCAGTCATTAGCATGATTCCAAAGCATATCTTTGAATGTTATATGAATTATGTGCACATTTTTTTGAACCATTAACATAAACCAAGAACTGTTGTTTTTTAACTTTTTACCTCACCTTTATTATTATAACATTTGCTCTCGGAATATTTTGAAATTTAAATTTGCAAAATTTAATAACTACTATATTTAAAAATTTTACTTACAGTCTTATTTATATCGGTTAATAAAATAGAATTTTACTGTTTGATCACTATATCGTTAAAGTATAACAACCAAGGAATAATTTATATTAAAAGATATAAAATGTCATTTTACGTTTACTACAAGGGCAGTCTTTTACCTAAAATTTTGTGTTTCCAACATATTTGACGATATAAATGAAGACACATGCATTTACAATATGACTACTATTACACAAAATGAATGCATAAAATACGAATATGTGTTTTCATCGTGATAATAATTTATGTTGATTTAGATGAAAACAAATAGCTATAGTCGCAGTAAAATTGAAATATAAGTCTGTAATTATAATATATCGCATTTTTATAAAAAAATTCACTTGAAATTTATTTTAAAACATTATACAATTTCATAAATAAATCTTGAATGTGTGTATACATATTATGTATATATTATATGCGTATACGTTAATAGTTTCTGAAATTTGTAATATTTTTCCGAAAATGAAAAAAATGTATTTATGTAGAAAACCTATCTCAGTTTAAAAATACATTTCTAAGTATAAACTTATATCTAATAAAATATCATCTTTTATTACAACATTTTATACATGAAAAAGTAATACTAAAGTAGTAATACTAAATAATTTTTGTATGGTGCATTGATTTAATAAAATAGTACATATTTAACTAAATCTTTACAAATTCGGATATATAGAATATGTCAGAAATATTAAATATAACCTTACTTCACAATTATTTTTCTTTTAATCAAAAAAGTGTACATATTTGTACATATAAATTAATAATTAAAATATTAACAATTATTATATTATATTAAAAAATTTTCTCTATTTAATCTCTTATTTTTATTCTTTAATGCAAACTATAATTGTGTGATTTTAATAAATTAAGAAAAAAAGTGCAACATATACGAGGGTCGTTCGATAAATCAGGTAAAAAAGCAATAAAATCACCTATTTTCCGGAAATTCTTTTTCACTTTTCGACATAGTCTCCTTGGAGCTCTACACACTTAATTCAGCGGTGTCCCAATTTTTTGATCCCTTCGGAAAAGTAGGAAGTCTCGAGGTCTTCAAAATACGCATCTACAGCAGCGATGACCTTCTCATCGGACGAAAATTTCTTTCCCTCGAGCCAGATCTTGAGGTTTTG